ATCTTTAGGGAAGTCATGGTGTGAGGGGAACAAGATACATACTTTAGATACGTGAATTACAACGCAGACCACCAGACCAGCCGGGTTCTTATTTTGGGGATAATAGACTATCTAACCGCACACAAGCCCAGCTTTTATATCTGAGGGCCTGGGTGGTTGCTTTCCAATGAGCAGAGTGCTATCTAAATCCTCAACTATGCAAGCAAAGCATTGTCTCTGCTGTTTAAGGCAAGGAGACAGGCGTGAGCATGCACAGGCGCCTGCTTGCAAAACAGTTACTAAGCATATTTTTTTCTTCTTAAAGTTGACAGGCGGCTGGGGTCTGTTACAATTTGTTAACCCAATCATGGGCTCCCACATGGAACCATTATGGAGGACACCCTAGGATGACAAATCCTGACTCTGGGCCTTTTCCTGCCAGCTTCAGCCACTCTAGCAGGGTCTAGGCACATCCCTGAATAACGATCCAACAGAACCACCCACACTCTTAACTCCTGGTGCTTGAAACTTAATTTTAGGTCTACACAACTTAACGTAGAAAAGTTTCAGAAATAAAAGATATTATATTATTTTTATATCTCATCATAGGACTGACTTTTCTGATTGCTCTAAGCTGCTTCTACTTGGTAAAGTACCTAACACTGTAGGTGTAAACAGTACTTTCCATTGGGCATAACTAGTCAGTTTGGGCTCGCTAACTTCTATTGGTCAAATACCGATACACTTAATTGATTTTATTGTTCATCAATTTCAGACGGGAGGAGAGGGAGTGTCACTCTGTTCCTCAGCCCACCCTCAACTCTTTTCTCATCAGCAACTCAGGCCTCCTGAAAACAAAACAAAACATTTATTTCCCTTCTACACTTTCCACAAACCCAACAGGAAACATCAGCCTGGAGAAAGAATTCAACACAAATGTTACAACAAAAATCTATAAACCTGAATCAACTCCATCTCCGAATCATGATACACAATGACATGAGATTAAATGTGTCAGGCACAAAGCATGCGTGAGCCTGTCCACCTGATTTCTGTTCTTCAAAGGAAGGAAGGTTTTCATATATTTTATTATCACTCTTTGTGATTATTTCTGATTAAGCCAAAAAATAGTTTATGAAATAATTAAGCACTGCAATAGCAGATTTTTTTTTTGTATCAATTACAGAAGGCATTCAGAGGGGACAGGAATACCCACCTCTGTAAAAAATGCAAAATTTCTTCCCCTGTTAAGAACACGTACACAAAATGCAACAGAGAATTCAAATTCTTGTGGAGAGGAGCAAAAGCCACAGAATCAAACAAAGTCATTAGTATGAGTCAATTCAAAATTCACTGGACAAGCATGCTCAATGCATTCAAAGAATTGTAAAGGCACACTGCAAACCATTCACTTAATGATCTGCAGGCTAGAGGAAGAATTTCCCTCTTTAACAGACAACAGAATTCAATAGGGTGCCCCACCAAACAAGGACCAAATAACAATCAAGTTTTTAACATTTCTGAAAAATCAGCATGTTCTAAATATCAAAATGCAGAAATTTTAAACATTCAATCACACCACAATGAAACAAGCACTTGAAAAAAAAAAAAAAACCAAAGAAACTAAGCACATAGACCATGTACATAGATCAATGAGAACTTCTTGTACCGCTGGAAGAAAGAACAGGCTATAGCCCTTT